GTGTATGGGTATGTGTGTATGGGTATGTGTGTATGAGTAAGTATGAATGAGTATGTGTGTATAAGTGTATATGGGTAAGTGTGTATAAGTATGTGTGTGTAACTAGGTGTGTATGGGTATGTGGTGAGCGGTAGTGTAGCGGTTAGCGCAATGCGCTACAAACCTGGCCACCCGAGTTGATTCCCGTTCACGGCCAACGCCGGTGACGATTATCCGAACCAGTCCTGGGCCTCCCCTAGGTCGACTCAGCCTCAAATGAGTACCTGGTGCGGTGTATAAACATCGCCACTAGGAGGATAAAGGCGGCCGGGCATGGTGCTGGCCACCCACCCCCTCGTGTGACGTGTCGACCACCTTCATAGGTGCCACTCGCTAACAGCACTTGCCCCAACAGTCTGTAAAAGCTATACAGGAGGGATTTTCTCTCCATGTTTGGGTGCATGTATGTATGTCTACATGTATGTATACTGTATGTGTACATGTCGGTATACATGTACACATGTAGGCACACATGTACACGTAGGTATGCATGTACACATAAATGTAGGCACACATGTACACGTAGGTATGCATGTGCGCATAGGTCCAGTGTGTGCCGAGCTGTGTGTGTGCACGACGTGTGCGCGTCGACACGAAGCGCTGAGAGGGTTTCACTTCTTCTTCTGCAGGAGTTTCTCTGCCTTCGCCCGGCGGGACTGGTCGATCTCGCTGAGCTGCAGTCCGTGCTCCTGCCCTGCACACTCAACGCACGCGCAAGGCCATCAGTCGGCACACGGGACTCCCCCTAGGTCGACTCAGCCTGAATTGGAGTGCAAAATATTCGCCACTCGTGCGGCCAAAGGTGGCTGGCCACGTCACCTCCTCATGTGCCGTACCCGTTCACGTAGGTGCCCGCTGAACAGGACTTGCCCCAACAGTCTGTTGAGGTTATACGGGGGATCGTTCTCTTTGTGTGCGAGTGCCGGGTGTCTAATAAGCAGCGAGGTGAGAAGTGGACAATCCCAGCCGGTGCATCTGCCGGGTCCTCTCGGTCAGCCACCCTTAAAAACAAACCCACCTGGGTCTGTCGCATGACCCCCCTTCCAGCAGTGAGCCTGCGACACTTAACGTGGTGGCCTTAGAGAGTGCACCTAGCCTGGCGCAAGCGCCGTGGTGATGTCACCAAATGGCTGCCGTTTGTTGTGGTGCGCGGGTTTCAAGTTTTCAAGTTTCATTTACGAGGCGTAGCCCTGTGAGCCATGCGGCTCTTGAGTCGGGTGCAACCGCAAAAAACGAAATATGAACAGAGAACAGGGTAGGCAAATTGTGCAGGCGTGTGGGTGAGCGAGTGCGCGCACACTCACCCGGCCTGCACCTCCGGCGGGCGGGGAAGTGGCTTCATGAAGCCTTGCTTGCCCACGAGCCAGAACGTCTCCTCCACGCCCTTGCCCTGCGAGGTGGCGACAACACGACACGATCGGCGCACGGCGCTACGTGGAACTTCTCTCGCACCGCACGCAGACGACCGTGCTTAATCGCAGGTGGTGCACGGTAGGACAACGAGCCGTTCTAAAGAAATGCGTTTTGCACACAGGCGGAGTTGACTTCCACATTTGGGGGTGGGGTGTGGGGGGCAGGGATTCGCTCTGTCACACACATCAGGAATCGGGTGCTTAAAATGTATTAATTTTTTTTTAAATCTCAATTCTAAACTACCGAGAATAAATTCATAAAGGTGTCCAGTTGTGGGGAAATTGCCCCCCTGTCCCCCCCCCAAACTCTAGATTGGATTTCAATGTAGACGATGTAAAAGTGCATCATAGCTCCCAGCGGCTTCCTAATATCGGAAAGACGGCCGCGGAAGCAGCGCGTACGAAAGCGCCACGCGATGCGGCGACCGTCCTTGTTTGACGGGCAGCCAAAAGCCAACAGCGGCCACCGCCGCCGCTGCCGCCGCCGCTGCTGCTGCTGCGAGGATGAGCCGGAGCTCGCGTGACGATGGCTTTATGCTCCTTGACGAGATTGGCGAGTTTTGTGCGCGCCGCTCGTCACCGCGTGGTCTACGCGCGTCCCCGGATCGTTCGTTGCTGTACAACGGCTCGGCACGACTCGACTTCCGTGCCACTTGACCCGCGCTCGGGGTCGGCTCGGCAATAGTCCCTGGCACGGCTCGGATGTACCGGTGGAAAAAAAGAGCTGTCGGTGGCCTGTATTGCGAATTCGCCCTGGTGATGATTTCGGACGAGTCTCGCCCTTGCGTACCTTCAGCTCGGTCTTGCCTTGCTCTCAAAGAGGTAGCCCTCGCTCAGAGTCCAGGATGTTCTTGACTGAGATGTTGATGTGTATTCTGTAGGCTGCGATGCACACAAAGACAACGATCCCCATGAAGGCCGGCATGACACACGGGGGGTGGGTGGCCATCACCACGCCCGGGCGCCTTTGTCTCCCGAGTGGCGATGTTTACACGCCGAACCAGGTACCAATTGAGGCCGAGTCGACCTAGGGGATGCCCAGGACCGGTTAAAATAATCGTGTACGAGTGTGTGTGTATGTACGTGCCAGCGAGTGCGTATGTGTGTACGCACGCAGTCCGGTTGACTCCATGCGTGACGCGGTGTTGACCGTGTCACGAACAGGCAGTAGCGTGGCATGGTCAGTCCCCACGCCGGCCACACACGCTGCCTGCACACAACACCACCACACACAACACACACCCACACACACACACACACACAACACACACACACACACACACAACAAACACACACACCACACACCACCAC